TTACTGCATCCATGTCTTTAATTGCCATTGTCATCATTGTCACATTTTGTGACAATTATACTTCACTTCCACTTCAAGATTAGAGTCAAATTTACAGTTATCATAACGAAACTATTACTAAGTAGACTACCTATTATTTGCACTATTAATATAAGTATAATCTCTAACTTAAGGCAGGTTCTGTGTCTGTGTTTGCGTGTGTAACGAATGCAAGGCCATAATTTTCGACAGATCTGCACCAAAATTTACATGCACACGCTCCAAGTTAGCGGGAAGACCAAGACGGACTTTGCATTTCAAAACTCCCATCGATAGTGGAAATAATCGATTTTTTCATGCTTCTACGGCAGTTTTCATGTAGTTTGCGGCCATTTTCTACTGGCCACAGTGAGAGCCAATACCTGGCTGTCACGAAAAGGGCAGAAAGAATCTATTGATCAGCGTGAGAACCAACAGCTGACTGACACGAATGCTAACTAGCATGCTAGCATGCAAAAAAAAAAATCGATAGCGACATTCGTCACAAGTGGGAAAAATTTAAATCTGCATGGCACTTTACTCCATTTGGCTCATTCGCTTGCTTAAAATCAACGTTGATTCTGATTCAGCAGAACTGGGTTGGGTGCGAAAAAGTATTTGTTGTTAACATTTTTTTTTTCATTCGGTTTTTTCAGTTACGAGTCCTTTTTTTAAAGCTGATCGTTTTGTGTTCATTTTGTTTAGTTCTTTTTTCCTAACAGATTTAATGTTTAGTATAGAGCTTAGAAAAATTCTCAGTGTGAGATAGGCAAGAAGTAAGGCATGTAGCAACATCAGCACGGCAAAGGGCACTCCTTTAAAGGCAAGTAAGGGCAAAAATATTTTAAGTCAAGTGATAGCGATTGCTGTTTGAGTCGTACGGGCCATGCTGCTAGTAGTCTATAATTAAAACACAATTAACATTAAAATTAAAATCATCAAATTTGCATACAGGACTCACTTTAAGCAATATCATGATGTAAAGCCCAGGCAGACAGAAAAAAAATATGTAGAAGTACACATGTGTGTATGTGTAAAGAAGTCTTCTTCCATTTGACAACATAGTCGACCGAGCTGAAAGACGACAAGAAGATATTCCAACACTCGACTTGTTGAAAAAAACTTAACTACAGCAAGTCCCAACATCGAAATAAGGTTGCAGTTGAATTGCGTATGCATATGTGCTCGAACACATGGATACATGTCTGCACCAGATCCAGCAATGTTTATATATGCGTATGTGTACGTTTGTGCGAACCATAGTCGTGACACACGTATTTATGTATGTCCCCGTGTGTATGAGCGTCATCGCAAAATGAAGACAGAGGAGAATTTTCCCCATCAACACGAAACATAATCAAAGAAAAACTGACATAAATTGTCTCAAATTAAAAAAAAAAACAGATTAAGGATTGCATAAAAGTGAAACCGACAGTCACAAACTCATAACCATTCAACTAAATACATACATACATATAAACACACACACAAACACACACACACAAACACACACACACATATATATATATATATATATATATATATATACATATGTGTGTGTCTGCGCGTGTGAGAGAGTGAGTATATATATATATATATATATATATATATATATATAAGTATAATATATATATATATATATATATATATATATATATATAATATATTATAAAAAATATATAAAATATTAAACAAAAACCTAATGAAGTTATTTCCTATTTTCTATATATTTTACACACACACACACACACACACACACACACACACATATATATATATATATATATATATATATATATATATATATATATATATATATATATACGTATGGTTTTATCAAAAAGTATCGGGATTGGTGTTACAGAAAGAAAAGTAAAACACATTCGTCATTTGATATCCTTTGAAGGCATATATATATATATATATATATATATATGTGTGTGTGTGTGTGTGTATATATATATATATATATATATATATATATATATATATATGGGGGTGAATACAAATATCCTTTTATGTAATTGTATTTAAACGCATTGTTCTTGTCTGTTATTTCTGACTTGAAGGAGATTTTATGTAATTTATCATATTTATATTTTCCCACTTCGTTTTCATTCTGCCATTTCTTGTGTTTTTTTTATCTCTCCATATATTTCCTTTCTTTTCTATTCTTCTGTTAAAAGACGTAAACCGTTCATAGAGAAGTTACGGGTCTCGGAAAAATTTAACACCTACAGGAAAAACGTAGGGTAGAGGCGAACATCGCGCTGTCTACCTAATGATTTTATCTGAATAACTAGCAGATATAGGAGAAAAATAATATGGCAAAGAGTAAAAATTGCTTAGAGTTGCAAGGGACAGGAAGTCATGGAGGTCTATGATCCTCCAATTTCTAAAGTAACTCGGCACGTTTAATATAAAAAAATGCTTTCCTTTTTACTTCTGGTTTACTCTGTCCATCTGTTTTTCCTTTTGGGTTTCCACTTCTTTCTCTTCTACATAAAATGTCTTCTTGTATTAATGACTAGCAGTAAAGCCCGGCGTTGCCCGCGGATATAACAGTAAGAGATAGATCAAGTATCCACCATCATAAAGACTGAAAAATAAAATTGACAAAGATTATTGTTTAAAGTTGACGGACACGCATGTCTTAATTATTTATTTTTTTTTACGAATTGGTCAAACCCAAACTCAAACAAAAACATTGTTTTCAATCGTTATGAGTCTCTACCGATTGAATAGAATTTTATTATAAACAATTGTCTTGTTAATGGAATTTTTAAAGCATTCTGAATGTAAAAATAAAGAAAAAAGTGTGCAAGACAATAAGAAACACTACATGTCAAAAAAAAAAGTTTTGTTGAAATCGGTTGAAAAATTTAGATAGCCTTTCTGTAATCTTTTAGTTTTACAATTTATGATTTTTACTTATTGAATACAGTAAAAAAATTTCATATTTTGCTTGTGGTGATTCATAATTAGAATTCTGATTTGAATATATTTTCCACTCGTTGTTTCTGATACAAAAATATTAACTTTATTTGGGCTTATTAATTATGATCTAACAAATCTTATTTCGTTTAGTAGCCTTTCTGTAATAATAATCTTTTTACAATTTATGATTTTTACTTATTGAATACAGTAAAAAATTTGACACCATGTGTATTTAAAGTAGTTTCCCGTTCGGTTATTATTTTAGTTAGGACTTGTATGTTTAGATTTCATTATCTTTCCCTAAAGATAAAGAATTTATTCCGATGTTTGTATTTCGTACAATAAGTATAGATCGTTAGATTATTGTTTATGGTTGACGGACACGCATGTCTTAATTAGTTTTTTTTTTATTGGGGGGGAATTGGTCAAACTCAAACAAAAACATTGTTTTCAATCGTTATGAGTCTCCCAAATGAATAGAATTTTATTATAAATAATTGTCTTGTAAATGGAATTTTTAAAGCATTCTGAATGTTAAAAATAAAAAGAAAAGTGTGCAAGAGAATAAGAAATACTACCTGCCAAAAAAAAAAAAAAAGTTTTGTTTTATCGGCTGAAAAATATAGGAAATCCGCTCCCATATTTAAAGGAACCCACACACACAAACAACCCGATGTGAGTTGTCCCCCCATCCATATTCACGATGTCTCTTAATCGTGTTTTCAAATTGATTTTGTGCAAAAAAAATTATATTTTTCCCATTTTGGGCGCTGTTAGAACCACCACAAGGTAATTTTATGTAGTCCTGTGAAGTTTTGTTGAAATCGGTTGAAAAATGTAGGAAATCCGATCCAATATATAAACGTTACACACACACACACACACACACACACACACACACACACACACACACACTATCTGCGTTTTATAATAAGTAAGATTCCTCTTTAATTTTTATGTCGTGTTGCTGAAACGTTTGTGAAACTTTAGTAGGATAATACTCAATTTTTTACTAGAACGAGACGCGGGAAAAGATGGCCGAACGTAACAGCTGAACAAAATGTCACTGATTGATTCGCTTTCGACGGCTTATCAACACTTTCCAGGTTTGGTTTGGTTTATTTTGTTTTACGGCATAATAACCTCAATGGGTTATTTAATGCCGACAAAAAATTTTATTGCTGGTAATATTTTGTTTTGTCAAATATCTGTTTCTGGTAATATATTTCTTTCAAAATTGCATTGCTGGTAATAATTTTTTTTCAAAAAAGTATCGCTGGTAATAGTTAACTATTTGCCCATAGCTGGAGCCGTAACAGGTGCTACCACCCCGGGCCAGGGTGGTCCTGGGAACACCAGCAATTAAAAGGTGGTTCCACGCTTTTCAAAACCTCCTGATCAGAGGCCTTGCTGCTGGACGTAGTTTATCGTCTTAACCAGGACGCGGATGTAGTTTAACGTCTTAGCCAGGACGACCTTTCCAGGTTATTCGTAGCCAAAAATATACTTATATGTAAAAAAATTCTTTTGTAGGTAATAAAATTTATTATCCGCAAATAAACAATGATTTTAAATAAAGTTCTCTTATATAGGAATAAAGTGTCGCTGTCGAGATTTGAATTTGAACCTAGATCGCCAGTGAGCAAATACAGGCGATCCAATTATTGAATTAACTGCGAATATAGAGCAAACGCATTAATAAAAAGTGAAATCGATCGCCATTTCCAGTCTATCTTCTATTACGATACTGATCACCATTTCTATTCTATCCTCTATTACTATACGGATCGCTATTCTCTATTTCTCTATACTGATCACTACACGGATTACTATTCGGTGCTTACTGTTCGAGCGTGTATTATCGATCAAGTACTATCAGTGCGAGTGTTATTCGAAGGCGTCTGACACCAGTGTTGTTCAATGGCGTTACTACAGTCTCTACTACAACGAGCATTACGAAAGTGACAACGAGTGTTCGTTGACATCACCAAACGTTCTTTATTTACTCGTTGATCATTTACAGATATCGGTGACGTGGGGAAACGATGGGTCATGTGACAGCTGAACAACATTTCATTGACTGATTCGCTTTAGACGGCTTATCAATCCTTTCTAGGTTATTCGTAGTCAGAAAATACTTATAAGCAAAACATTTCATTTGGAGATAATATTCGTTTCGTGATACAAGACTTACTTAATTAACCCATAGCTGGGGGAGAGAAGAAGTGCATTCACACATTTCCCAAGGTTTCTTTGGCGCGTTAAATGGATATAACGAAGCCAGCAGGAATTGGGACTCGACTTTCTGTATAACAAATTCAAGGCATTGTCCATTACACATATCCATACATCTAAGCTTACATCTCCTAGTATCCCCAAGCGGTCACCCATCTAGGCAGTGACCAGGCTAGACGTTGATTATCTTTTGTGATCGTACAGGAAGCGGTCTTTCAATGTGATGTAGCCGTAAGTGAGTAATTTCAAATACTTTACTAATCTATAATTCCCCGTGAGACGTGGAAACGATGAAGGACATAGCTGCTGAACAAAATTAGCCTGCCTCCCTAATTCCTTTAACTTTTACTATTATCTCATATATTGGTAGAAATATATCGTTTTTAACATTTTATAATATCAGAAGGATAATTTATCACTCAGCGAATATTTGCAGATAACTACACTGGTTTATTTTATATATATATATATATATATATATATATATATATATATATATATATATATATATATATAAAAAAGACATCGCCTCATTTCATTTCTATATTTTCTTTGTGTATGTAAGGGGGAAAAGTTATGAAATATTTCATATGAAAGCAAACAGATGAAAATCTGTAAAAGTTACTGGCTAATATATCAAAGTCAGAATAAACATCGTAAGTCCCGAGAAAATAGAAAAATTATATATTCCGCACGACAAATAACAGATTTATTATTATTTTTTTTTATCTCTTCCAATATTTTAGAGAAACGCGAATATGTATTAAGCACAATTACCTCATCAAATGATACTCCAAACAATAGTACAGGGAAGCACGTAATTTGTAAACATAGTTAATGTTAAATATTTTTTACATCCATCCATATATATATATATATATATATATATATATATATATATATATATATAAGCAAATATATGGATATAGATCCGACAGTATGAAGAAAAATATACGGAAAAACAAACAAAAATCCTCATATAAATCTTCAGGACATATTCATAAAACATAATTAACATTAGACTATATTCTTTTTATTTTTCACTCAAAATACTATATTTTAGGAATACGTTTTCACAACATCGCCTACGTGACGCCGACGTGATCATATTGAAACGGAACGCTGTTTTGATTAGTCTTACACTTATGTCCATCGTCTTTTCATGTTGAATTAAATATAGTCTAATGTTAATTATGTTTTATGAATATGTCCTGAAGATGGTCTACTAGACCGAAACGTCCGACGTTGACATTATATTAACATTAAAACAGCATAATTGCATATTAGGATTTTTGTTTGTTTTTTCCATATATTTTTCTTCATATATATATATATATATATATATATATATATATATATATATATATATATATATATATATCAAGGGAGGCGACAGTCTGTTTCATGAAACAGACTGTCGCCTCTATGTTGACTTCTATGTTCACTATTTTACACACGCTCTATCTCTGATATTGGAGCACTTTATCCCATAAATATAGCACACTTAAGACTATATTTCTTATATATATATATATATATATATATATATATATATATATATATATATATTGCAGTAAAAACAGTCGGATTAATAAATGAAAAATTCTTTACAAACATCACAATCACAAGGCAATGCAAAATTTATCACGGTTACAATGAATTTGTCTTTGTAATTTACCTCTGTAGATAATATTAAAAACAATGTCAAAAAATGATTCAGCAACGGAAAAATTATATATATATATATATATATATATATATATATATATATATATATATATATATATATATATATATATAAAAGAGAAAGACAGTAAGATATATAAGCCAGTGTTCTTATTAATTATTTTCATTTTTATAAAACAGTGCTCAATGCAAATCTACAAAGCATACATATAAATTTACTAATTTCAAAATATGGTTCCATCGCTACACAGGGATTATCATGTTTCAAAAACGGAAACTAAAACTTCAAATTAAATTATAGAATTAGATTAAAGTCTCTACTCCTTTTTCATTTTCAAGCGAATTTTGGTAAAACTCATTTTAAAATTTACTGAGTTTTATAAGCACTTACATTAATAAATGCGTTTCTAAGGATACGGGGAAATTCAATCATTTTAATAAGTGGCGGTAGGGTATTCATTTTCACTGACAACTATTGTATCAAAATATGAGTTACTTTCAAAAAGAGGTTAATCAAGGTGTGGTAGCGAATAACTTCTGGCGAATTTGAATTAATTTCTTCTAGGTTAAATAGCAAGACAGGCTGGGCTTTATAAGCTTGGCAGAGGAGAAGGACTAATAATAAACTCAAATCAAATAAAATCTATCGATCTATCTATCTATCTATCTATACATTTCTATCTATCAATCTGTTTAATTCTATTTCTGTTATCTATCTAGCAATCTGTCTGCCTGTCTGTCTATCTCAATCTATTCATTTCTAGGTCTTCATTTCTATGAGACTATCTATCTATCTATCTATCTATCTATCTTAGTAGCTTCATTCTATGTATCTATCTTCATTTTTCTCTTTCTTTTTATCAATACTTGTTGGTTTTTCTTTTTCTTTCTGTCCTTCTTTATTCATCTACGTACATTTCTTTCCCAGTCTATTTCTCTCTCTCTCTCTCTCTCTCTCTCTATCTATCTATCTATCTATCTACTTTTTCTTTCTTTTTTATTTATGTCTTCCTTTGATTTTATTTGGATGCTATCTTTCTTCGCGTCTTTCTTTGTTTATCTATCTATCTTATCTATCTATCTATCTATCTATCTATCTATCTATCTATCTAGGTTTATTTATTATCTCTATGTATCTTTCTATCTATCTCAGTCAATTCATTTCTATCTATCTATATCTGTTTAATTATGTCTCTGTTATCTATCTAGCTATCTATCTATCTATCTATCTATCTGTCCACCCCTTTTATGCTTTCTAATATAACAATAAAATGTTGTTATTTAGTTTCCTTCACCGGAACATTGCCTTTCATGACGATTTGCTCATACTAAGCAATAGTTGTTTCTATCCGAGAAGATATAAAATATCTTCAATTTTTATCTATAAAATAGCTGGTAATTAAATGAGAGGAATTCTCGCTGCACTGAAACAATGGTTAATTTATTGCCATAATGCTCTCGAAAGCACATTTCACGCAATGAACACATAATGTGTCTTTCAAAAGCTCGTGTTTGCTTAACGACCGAATTTTCTTAAGACAAATGTGATAAATTGAAGTTATGATTAAAGAGATCTTGTACGAGAAAGATATGAGTTTCTGCATTTTATTTATTTATTTATTTTTTTGATATTTAAAATAAATGTTTTTCTTTTATTAATCTCCGGAACCAAGTGCTGTAGAATGTCAAATAATAATAATAATAATAATAATAATAATAATAAAACAAATGCAGAAATTGTGTCTTCTATCGCAATTATGCTTCCAAAATGAGGCTTCGGTGTTGTATTTTGAACATGTCCAAATCATTGGGATTCAGAAAAAAAGAAATGAAGATAGGAATTGCATGAATGAATTGGTTGAATGTTAACAAAACAGATTTTCAGTCTGTTCATTTCTATCTCTGCCTATTCATATCATATCATATCATATCTATCTATCTATCTATCTATCTATCTATCTATCTATCTATCTATCTATCTATCTTAATCTCTTAATTATCTATCTATCTATCTATCTATCTATCTATCTATCTATCTATCTATCTATCTTAATCTCTTAATTATCTATCTATCTATCTATCTATCTATCTATCTATCTATCTATCTATCTCTTCCTTTTTATTTATCGAATACTATTCATTTTTATCTGTCTCTCGATCTCAGTCTATTTCTGTCTCTCTCTCTATCACAAACACTGCTTATCTATCTATCTATCTATCTATCTATCTATCTATCTATCTATCTATCTAAGTGTATTCATTTCTATCTATCTATTATCTTCAATCTCTTCCTTTTTATTTATCGAATACTATTCATTTTATCTGTTTCTCGATCTCACTCTATTTCTGTCTCTCTTCACAAACACTGCTTATCTATCTATCTATCTATCTATCTATTTATCTATCTATCTATCTCATTGTATTCGTTTAAATATGTCTATTCTTTTCTATCTATCTATCTATCTATCTATCTATCTATCTATCTATCTATCTAAGTGTATTCATCTATCTATCTATCTATCTATCTATCTCAATCTCTTCCTTCTTATTTATCGAATACTATTCATTTTTATCTGTTTCTCGATCTCACTCTATTTCTGTCTCTCTCTCTATCACAAACACTGCTTATCTATCTATCTATCTATCTATCTATCTATCTATCTATCTATCTATCTATCTATCTAAGTGTATTCATTCATCTATCTATCTATCTATGAATATCTTATTTTATTTTTTGTTATCGAATACATTCATTTTATCTGTTTTTTTCTATTTCTGTTCTTCTCTATCACAAACACTGCTTATCTATATCTATCCATCTATCTATCTATCTATCTATCTTTATCTATCTATCTCATTAATTCGTTTAAATATGTCTCATTCTTTTTATCTATTAATCTATCTAATTGTATTCATTTATTCATCTATCTATCATCTATCTAAATCTATCTATCTATCTATCTCTATCTATCTCAATCTCTTCCTTCTTATTTATCGAATACTATTCATTTTTATCTGTTTCTCGATCTAACGCTATTTCTGTCTCTCTAATAATCACAAACACTGCTTTATATATCTATCTAATATCTATCTATCTATCTATCTATCTATCTATCTATCTATCTCATTCTATTCGTTTAAATATGTCTATTCTTTTCATCTATCTATCTATCTATCTATCTATATATCTATCTAATGTATTCATCTAAATCTATTCTATATCTATCTATCTATCTATCTATCTACAGTTCTAAAATCTTAATCTCTTATTTTATCATATCTATCTATCTATCTATTTGAGCCCTATTCACATCTATGACCCAGTTGGGCCTAGGAATATTCATCTATCTAATATCTATCTATCTATCTATCTAATTATCTATCTATCTAAATATCTATTTAAAATCAATCTCTTCCTTCTTATTTATCGAATACTATTCATTTTTATCTGTTTCTCGATCTATTTCTGGTCTCTCTCTTTCATAAATATTATTATCTATAAATCTATCTATCTATCTATCTATCTATCTATCTATCTATCTCCTTTTGTATTCGTTTAAATATGTCTAATCTATCTATCTATCTTAATCTATCTATCTATCTAAGTGTATTCATCTATATCTATCATCTATCTATCTATCTATCTATCCATCTATCTATCTATCTATCTATTTGAGCCTATTCACATCTATCTACCCAGTTTCTAAATTATCTATCTATCATTATCTATCTATTATCTCGAATCTATCTATCACAGTCTGTTCATATATGTTTTTCTATCTATCTCTCAGGAAGTCAAAGTCTGTTCATAAAATCTATCTATCTATCTATCTATCTATCTATCTATCTATCTATTTATCTCTTCAAATTTATCGAATACTATTCATTTCTATCTGTCTCTCGATCTCAGTCTATTTCTCTCTCTCTCTATCACAAACACTGCTTATCTATCTATCACTCTATCTCTCTACCTATCTAAGTGTATTCATTTCTATCTATCTATCTATCTATCTATCTATCTATCTATCTAATAGAATCTCTGCTTATCTATTTCTATACCTGAATCATTCAATCTATCTATCTAGCTATCTTCTACCCTTTTTGTCTTCACTCAATATGCGGTGTTATCACCTTCACCTGTTAAAGCACTATGATTTACTCGTAAATTCTCTTCCATTTCTACTCTTGACTGATCTGGAATATCTTCGCCTGACCTTCCACTTAGAAATGAGTTGCTGCCCTGTTATTTGCTAATAACAACGTGTTTTCTGCTTTCATCACAAAACTCGAGCCCTACACAGCATGCGGGCTTCATGGTGCTTCTCAAATCATTCCTATTCTCTAAAAACTCTTGCTGCTTCTTGCTTTCCTGTTTGTTGATAAGAACTCAGGTGAAACGTCAGACCTTTCTAACGCTCAGCCTCTTAGCCTTGTGCAGCAGGATCAGATCGGAATAAGGATAAGAACATCGGGGTTTCGTCAAAGACATTGAAAAAAGGAACGCGATGTTTATGTTCAGAATGTTAACGGGAAGAGCAAAGAGCAGTACAAACGGAAAAAGGACGTGTACCTGTGTTTTATAGATTATGCAAAGGCGTTTGATAAAGTACAACTCAAAAATCAGTTGGAAGTGCTCAGCAACCTTGACATATTTGGGAAGGATATGAGAATAATGAAGAACGTATAGAGGAAGCAAACCGACTGCATACAGATAGAAAATAAGTCCAGCAGATGTAGAAAAAATAAAAAGTGGTGTAAGAAAAGAATGTACCTTTTCCCGGACTTATTCAACCTATACAGCGATACGATTCTGTGATAATTATAAGGCCAAAAAAGATTCATTATTGGCTGCCACAATATAATATATGCAGACGACAGTGTTGATAGAAGGCACGGAAAGAAACCTACAAAAACTCCTACAGAAGTTATTCTTGATGAAAAGCGAGGAGAAAGGATAAAACATCAACTGCAAGAAGAAAGAACGCATGGATGTCAGTAAAAGGATGCGTCCAAAGTGTGAATTGAAAATCAGAGATCCAAAAATCAAAGATTTTAATATATGGGAAAAAGTTTGACAGAGGACGAAAAGTGTGACACTGAAATCCGAAGGAGCATTGGGATAGAGAAAGATGCCTTCCAAAAGCTAAGCAAAGTATTAAGAAACAGTAAAATATCTGGGAAGTGATTTAACAAAAAAAGGAAAGTGTGACACTGAAATCCGAAGGAGCATTGGAATAGAGAAATATGCATTTTCCAAAAGCTAAGCAAAGTATTAAGAAACAGTAAAATATCTGGGAAGTGATTTAACAAAAGACGGAAAGTGTGACACTGAAACTGAAGAAGCATTGGGATAGAGAAATATGCCTTCCAAAAAAGCTAAGCAAAGTATTAAGAAACAGTAAAAATATCTGGAAAGTGTTTTTAAAAAAGGACGGAAAGTGTGACACTGAAATCCGAAGAAGCATTGGGATAGAAAGATGCCTTCCAAAAAGCTAAGCAAAGTATTAAGAAAGAGTAAAATATCTGGGAAGTGTTTTAAAAAGGACGGAAAGTGTGACACTGAAATCGAAGAAGCATTGGGATAGAGAAAGATGCCTTCCAAAAGCTAAGCAAAGTATTAAGAAACAGTAAAATATCTGGAAAGTGTTTTTAAAAGGACGGAAAGTGTGACACTGAAATCCGAAGGAGCATTGGAATAGAGAATGATGCCTTCCAAAAGCTAAGCAAAGTATTAAGAAACAGTAAAATATCTGGGAAGTTTTTTAAAAAAAGGACGGAAAGTGTGACACGAAAAATGAAGGAGCATTGGAATAGAAAAATATGCCTTCCAAAAGCTAAGCAAAGTATTAAGAAACAGTAAAATATCTGGGAAGTGTTTTAAAAAAAGGACGGAAAGTGTGACACTGAAATCCGAAGAAGCATTGGAATAGAGAATGATGCCTTCAAAAGCTAAGCAAAGTATTAAGAAACAGTAAAAATATCTGAAAGTTTTTTAACAAAAGACGGAAAGTGTGACACTGAAATCCGAAGTAGCATTGGGATAGAGAAATATGCCTTCCAAAAGCTAAGCAAAGTATTAAGAAACAGTAAAATATCTGGAAAGTGTTTTAAAAAAGGACGGAAAGTGCGACACTGAAATCCGAAGAAGCATTGGAATAGAGAATGATGCCTTCCAAAAGCTAAGCAAGGTATTAAGAAACAGTAAAATATCTGGGAAGTGTTTTAAAAAAGGACGGAAAGTGTGACACTGAAATCCGAAGAAGCATTGGGATAGAGAAATATGCCTTCCAAAAGCTAAGCAAAGTATTAAGAAACAGTAAAATATCTGGGAAGTGATTTAACAAAAGACGGAAAGTGTGACACTGAAATCCGAAGAAGCATTGGGATAGAGAAAGATGCCTTCCAAAAGCTAAGCAAAGTATTAAGAAACAGTAAAATATCTGGGAAGTGTTTTAAAAAAGGACGGAAAGTGTGACACTGAAATCCGAAGGAGCATTGGGATAGAGAAAGATGCCTTCCAAAAGCTAAGCAAAGTATTAAGAAACAGTAAAATATCTGGGAAGTGTTTTAACAAAGGACGGAAAGTGTGACACTGAAATCCGAAAAGCATTGAAATAGAGAAAGATGCCTTCCAAAAGCTAAGCAAAGTATTAAGAAACAGTAAAATATCTGGAAAGTGTTTTAAAAAAGGACGGAAAGTGCGACACTGAAATCCGAAGAAGCATTGGGATAGAGAAAGATGCCTTCCAAAAGCTAAGCAAAGTATTAAGAAACAGTAAAATATCTGGAAGTGTTTTAACAAAGGACGGAAAGTGTGACACTGAAATCCGAAGAAGCATTGGAATAGAGAAAGATGCCTTCCAAAAGCTAAGCAAAGTATTAAGAAACAGTAAAATATCTGGGAAAGTGTTTTTAAAAAAGGACGGAAAGTGTGACACTGAAAATCCGAAGAAGCATTGGGATAGAGAAAGATGCCTTCCAAAAAGCTAAGCAAAGTATTAAGAAACAGTAAAATATCTGGAAAGTGTTTTAACAAAGGACGGAAAGTGTGACACTGAAAT